CTACTACTTACTACTTACTACTTACTACTACTACTACTACTACTACTACTACTACTACTACTACTACTACTACTACTACTACTACTACTACTACTCCCAAACGTGGCAACTACAAATACAACGACGAGCCAGTCAACGCGGCTACGTCTTTCCCAACTACTTCACTCGCAGCTGCATTGTCAACTTCGACCCGCCAACGTACAGAGAAATGAGAAGCTTCTTTTTTTTGAAACGGGTGCCTCTTTACTGCGTCAGCTCAGTAGGCCGGTCTTGTGGGTTGAGTCGGAAGTGAAACATAGCCAGAGCAACGGCAGAAGATCCCACCGCCAATCAACACGAAACAAACCAAACAACGAGAAAAAAAAACAAAAGCCGTCCCAAGAACCCTAGCTTCGGATTCAGGGTTGCGGGCACAGGCTTTGGGCATACTTTCGGATTCAACGCCCTCCACACTCGAACAAACCGCCGCAGCTTAATGGGGCCGTTAACCCAGATAGAGTCTCAAAGAGTGGATGAAAGGAGGCTTCAAGGGGCTCTGAAGGAAAGCTTAAGGGGGTGTTCAAGGGGTAAGGGGATTAAGAGGGGCTAAAGGGCGGAGCTTTGGCTGGTTGTTTTCTTCGATTGAAAAAAAGCAAAAACCTGCTAATGCGCTGACCCGACGCTGACAGTGTGGGTGGCAAGGAACTGGAGCCGCGGTTGGAGCGGACCAGAGCCTTCTAAATGGAGGGTGCGACTATGCTGGGAAGAGAAAAGTTGCACCTGTGTCCGCTCCGCCTCCCTGAAAAACAAACAACACGTCAAGCTATTATTGCACAAGTGCCCATCTGCAGGGAACGCCATGGATGAAGATGCGGGTTTCAGTGCGGTCGCGCACGAGACTGCCCCTTCACCCTCAGATCTGTAGTTGGCAGGGTTCTTGAATTTGGCTTCATCAGAACACTGCGAATGGTTCTTTTGCATAGGCACTCTAAGTCTCCTTTCATTGGATGAGGTCCGTGCTTGCTTGGTTGGGCGATCCTTGTGTGCGTGTTGATTGCATGTTCACCCTCACTTATTCTCGAGGTTTCGGTAAACCTGTACGTTTCGTGAGTCAGACGCAGACTCTTGCGGCTCACGCGCAGGCTTTCAGGGGTTCGAACGTGGCTCCCGGTCACCCTTGGCGATCCACTTGGTTTTGAGGAATTCCTGTGTAGTTCGGCAGAACTTAGCAGACTCATGCTTCAAGCACTGCAGCAGTGAATGTTTCTCTTTCGAAAGCCGTGCAGCAGAGGAACGCCTGGCAGTTCAAAAATGCTGACACGCACCTTTAAACTTCAGGGGTGGGGTTTAAGGTTGAGGGTTTAGGGTTTAGGATTCAGGGGTTTAGGCTTAGGGTTTGGGGTTTGGGCTTTAGGGTTTGGGGTTGAGGGTTTAGGATTTAGGGTTTGGGGTTTAAGGTTTAGGGACGGTTTGGCCTTTAGGTACAGCAGCACATCGCTTCTAAACACTGAAATCTTCATTATGCCTGCCCTCGCGTTTTTCAGTTGATTTATTGGCCTCTACTGGAAATGCCGCAAAATACCAATGTCTGGCGGTTCAGCCGCAGCAAACCGACCAGGCGCCCTGGGGCGCTAGCCTGGCAGTAGCAGTCGAAGTGGTGTAGTAGCAGGAGGAGGAGGAGGAGGAGGAGGAGGAGTAGGAGCATCAATATTAGTAGTAGTCGGTAGTCGCAACAGTAGTCTTAGCACTGGCAGTTGTAGTAGTATGTAGAATTAGCAGTAGTAGCAGCAGCAGTAGAAGTAGTTGCAGCGCAGCTGACATGCTGCTTGCTCCGGGAAAAACGTCAAACGTTGGTGAGGATGAGAAGTCTTCAATGAGGTTGTACGGACTTGCAACACAGCTGCCAAACACAAAGCTATCCAACGGCCTTCAGCACGACGTAATCCTCCCAACGCTGGCCCCGCTGAGCACCCTGATGTCTTTCGATGCACATGGGGTGCCCTTGGTGCAGGTTGGAACACTGCAACCACAGTTCTGAAGTACGACCAGCTACCCTGAAGCTCCAATTGCTCTTAAATAAGGCAGCCATGGTTTCTAGACGTCAGACGTCTTATATCAGAGTGCGATTTAAGAGCAACAACCTTAAATAAGAGTTCAAACTCTTTATTCAAGACTCAGAAGCCTTAAACTTAATGCTGTTTAAGGCTGCCAGCCTAAAATAAGCATTCTAAAAACCATCCTCATTTAAGCCTTCCAAAAACAGCAGGAGATCTGCAGCTATACTCTCTTGAAAAATATAGAGAAGGCACCGAAATATGCAGCAGGGACATGCACACTCGATCAAGTCTTTGGTCACGAGATCAGCACGGACAGAGAGTTCTTTGCTCGAAACTTGTCCAGACCTGCTCCGAAGAGCTCTTGGAGGTGTTTCAGCCACCCTTTCCCCGCTGGCATTGATAGAATCATGATTTACGCCAGGCAATAACGCATGACCGTGAGATCAAGATGGCAGTTCCTGTGGCTTTGCGTCCGGCGAGGCACCACCTGCAACAAGTTTGCAGAAGTTCGAACGTGTGATGGAACTGGTGAAAAGCATGATGAACGGAGCGACTTGGGCACAGCCGCCGATACTTGTGGAAACATTCTGTGGCAACTCCAGGAAATGATGGAAGGAGACACCTGTCTCTGTCGAAACTTTCTTTGTGAAGAAACAAGCAATCACTGCCATCATCATGCAGTGTTACCCTGCTTCACTTGGAAGCCTTTCTTGATTGCACAGATGGGAAAATGGTGCTTGGGACCTTTTCCGGTTGGTGATTTCCGTCTTGGCTTCTCTGACAGAGCAAAGTTTGCCAAGAGGTGTGTGTTCCTTCCTGCGTTGCCCATCTCCTGCACGCTTCTTTTTGATGGGCCAGAATGGCTTCTTGGTGGCAAAATTTTCGAATGGCAAAGAGAAGCAGCTTGCAGCGTTGGTAACGCAGATGGAAAGTGTCAAATAAGGCCTTTATTTGACAAATGGGCTGCCAAGCAATCAGAATGGACGGTGCATGAGCCCTCCCATCGGTCCTACTGGTCAGAGCAGAAAGAATTCAAGTCCACCAACTATCAGCAGGGTCAACAAGGACAGGGAAGGTCAAAATTTTGGAGCTAATAAAAGCCTTAAGGCTGTTTTCTGGCAGGCAAGCACCCACCTAAGCGCGGGTAAGAAAGCCGCGGGGGTGCGAACCCCTAGGGTTTTTTGCATCAAAAACGGCTAGGGGTTCAGGCAAAATCCTGGATTTTAAGCACTACAATACGTTTGAAAAAAAAGATTGCTCTGGGACCTGGTTTGGCAACCATTTTTTGGAACAAGTTCTGTGCGACATTCTGGAAACCATGAATTTAAGCTTTCGAGAAAATGTCACTGCTGGCCGCTGTCAAAACTGGATTTGGAAGGTGTTGACCTCACTCGCAAATCGTTTCGATTTTAAGCTTCAGGTTCAAGGGCCTTTTGGTTGTACGGGAGGACCATCTGCGTTTTTTTTTCGATGTAACACCCTGGGCTTTCGAGTTGCACTTCAAGGCACTGTTTGGGAATTACTGAAACCCACTCCCGCTCGCCCGTTGCAAGCACAATCGCGCCAACAGCTGTTTTCGCAGAAGCTCGCGCACCCCGGGAGCTGTTTTGCTCATCGAAACACACTTTAAACTCGAATTGGCAAGCCTGGCAAGCCAAGTGGTATGCGTATGCCAATGCGCTAGACACTGAATGAGCATGGATATGCCAAAGGAACCGTGGCCAGTATGCCCTTGGAGCTGGCACTGGCCGGTTTTCCATTGGCATCCAAGCTTCGTTCAGATACTCGCTCACCAGCGGCCCAGCACGCCTTCTGGGGGGCTAGGGGGAACGAGGCACAGACACAGAAGTCTGCTTTGGTCTTTCCCCTTGGTTTCACGATGTGCAAAGACTAGAAGTACCGAGCACCTTTTCTTGTCAACACATCCTCGTTCCTTTGTCTTTTCTCCGGCCTTGTAGTCTTGCAAACATCCTTCTTCTGCGATTCGCAAACAGTTGGCAAACAAACCTTCTTCTTCTCTGCATTCTGGGACAAATCGTTCTCGTTGGGAAACTTCCTCTTCGTGTTCTGGCCTTGCTGCAGCCATCGATTCGTGTAGTAGCAACCCAAGCAGAGCCTGCCCAGCTCCGATGCCTGAGAATTGTCCACAGACACGGTAGCCCAGCAATCCAAACAAATCATGTCGCTGTCGGCCATGGTCGCAAGGCTCCAGGCTCCAGCAACCAGTCGCTGGGACACGGGGACACTGGCAAGTGTTTTGGGGATGCGATTTCTGCGTTGGTCCAAAACAGCGACGGGTAGAACACATCAACACATGTACAACCTAGGACAGCTACGACAGCTGGAACAGGACAGACCGGGCTAGGACCTTCAACACGCAGGAAGCGCTCAGCTGCTAAGCTCGAAGACATGAATGTTATTTGCAAAGGCCTAGAACGGGTTGCTTCAATCATCGCAATCGCACGCAGATGCCTGGCGACATGGCCTTCGTCACTTATGCACTAGAGCCCTGGCCCAACGGCCCAACCCCCAAACCCTGCACTAAACAAGACACGCACGCAACATGTCCTTGTTTTTTCTCTTCTGGCACGACAACTCAGCCATAGATCTCAAGATTCGGAAATTCGAAAGGGGCACGCTGGATGTTGTGCAGGCTTTTCCCGCTGTTGCATTGCTTGTGCTATCTTTGAAGTGGACTACAAGCGAAGCACCACCCTGCAGAGCTCTCAGCCTGTCTTGGGGGCACTCGGCTTGAACTTCCCCCCTCCAGCAATGCATGTTTCACACACACAGACACATACACAAAGGCCTGGCAACAACATTCTTAGCGCGCCTGAAAAAACCATGTTTCTGGACACATTGTATCCCGAATCAGTAGTCTGGACCACGGTAACCGGGCCCGGGTAGCCACGGCCCACGGCCCACGGCAACCATGGACCATGACACACTTCAGACTTCAGAACTTCAGACGCTCTTCAGCCACGTGTGCAATCTGCCGGTTCGCTGTCCTGCCAGGTCAGGCCACTCCTTCACTCTGGCGTCAAGCAGCTGCACCGTGTACTTCAGTCCACGGCGGCATCCCTTCAGGATTCGAACGCCGTGCGTCTCTTGCTCACAGACTTGGATGTAGGCATGGCCTGCAGGGATTCCCACAACTTCGCCAGCGACTGCGCAGGTCAGCCAGCCTGATGTCTCGCACTCGTCGATCCAGGCTTCGGCCGTCATGCCCCTCAGCTTTTCGCAGAATGCGCCCAGACCACTCTCAAGCTCTGAGGGAAAGATGGCTCTTCCCATGAAAAAAGCGCTGCCCTCCAAGACCATCTTTAACTCTGTCAGGCCGTAGTCGGTGCTGTAGAACAGCTTGCTCATTCCCTTTCCAAATGACCAGTAGCAAGGCTGGAACACTTCCTGCAGGTCCGCATCCGTGGTGATGTCCAGGCATTCGGCAGCTGCTGATGTCCCCAAGAGGCCTGTCCAAGCCCTGTCAATCTTGCCAGCCAAGGCTGGCTTTGCCACCAACGCCAAGGACACTTCGACCTTCTTCTTGTCCTTCTTCCACAGCTCCTGGACCCATTCCTTCTGCTGACCGTAATACGGCATGGCAAGCCACTCATCCCTTAAGGATTTGGTCTGAGCGGCCATGATCTTGAGGCAGGAGTTCGGATGCTTGCCACACAACCAGTCCATGATGTTGAAGCAGGGTGAGGACAAATTGAAAACCTCGCCCATGTCCTGTCCAGCAGCTTTTGCCCCCGTCACGGACTTCAGCAAGTCTGCCCCCATCTGGGTGTCGGTGCCACTTGGCGGGCCAGAGCTGATGGGCTGCTTGCTCCCAGCAGCAACAGCAGCCGCTTTGGCGCTCGCAGCCGCCTTCTTCCCGGCAAGCTTTCCATTTCTCTTCTTGAACTCACTCACCCACTTTCGAGTCTGCGCCATGAATGTCTTCAAGCAGGTGGCCCTCTCGGCCGTGGCCAAGTTCTTCACCTGCCTGCACACGTCCATGTAGAGCTGGTTCCAGTGCTGGGCGGCATTCTCCAATTCCTCCGGCGGGCTCTTGTCCTTCTCCGCTTGCCAGTGCCTGGGGTGACTGACTCTGACTGCAAAAAAAAAAGGCCGGACTCAAGCCTTAACATGTTTGACATGATATCTGGGTTTGTGGTATAGGGTCAGGGCCCAGTCAGGGCTAACAACACGCCTGACACGAAATCATAAGTCAAGTTTCGACTCTTTCTGCCGGATGAAGCACTCCATGTTCTCGGCCAGCTGCTTGAACTTCTCCTGCTTCTCAGCCAGCTCCGCTTTCCCGTTCGGACAGCCTTCCACACCAGCTTCTTTCACCTCGGCCACCAGCCCCGAGAAGCTGTTCTTCAGCTTCCTCAGATAGGAGTCCATGGACGTGACACTCCTCTCGATGGACTGCTCAAACTGCAGGTGCTCCAGGCTGGCCGAGTTGAGCTTCACAGGCTTCTGCTGCCTGGCCTTCCGCTGCTCCTCCGCCTTTTCCGCCTCCTCGTAGAGCCTCTGCTCTTGCTCCTTTCGCACCTTTGCTGCTTCTTCCATATCCTCCTGGACACGCAGAAGCTGACTTTCCTGGTTTGTGTTGTTCGAATGGTTCAGCAGCCTGTCAGCTTCCAGCAACGACTCGCCTCGCTCCAGGCGACTGCTCGACTGGTCCTGGAATCTGGACAGGTCCTCGCTGCGGTGCAAGTCCATTCTCTGCTTCATGCCGGCGCTCACGGAGTGCGACGACCCCAAGCGATCCTCCTGGCCGGCCCAATCCTTCAAGAGGGTCTCTCCGCGTTGAACCTTTGTGATGGCACCGGGCTTCTGCAACTCCAAGTCCCAAAGCCTCTTCACATCGGTATGCTTGCACCCTGTTACCAGGATCTCCCTGGCTGCCCAATCCTTGAACCTCCACCACTTGTCCACGTCTTCAGACTTCTGGTGTCGTGTCCTCTCCTCTGTCAATGTTCCCACAGCAGTCTCGAAGGTCCGGCGGCGAGGGCCCTCGGCTTGCCGCTCGGCGGCTTGCTTCTTGTACCATTCGGCCTTTTCCTCTGCCGTCATCTTCCCTAGGCTGGCCGAAACCTTCTCCGCATTCTCCCGGAGTTCTTTCTCCTTGGGTGTCTCATTGCTTTTGCCCTTTGTTTTTTTGCACCTCTGAAGCCACCGATCCGTGTTGGAGCAATCCAAGCACACTCGACGAAGTGCATTCCGGCCAGAGGCATGCGAAGTCTCCAATGACACTTCCACAAAGCACTTCAGGCACTTCATCTCGCTGTCAGCCATGGCGCGCAGGGCTCTGGGGGAGCGGGCTTTGGAGCTCTGGAAGATGCCTGCCTCGGTCCAACACAGCTGCGGGGTTGAGCGCATGCACTGGTCACACGCTGGGCCAATCCTGACGGACAGTACACGAATGCAAAGTTAATGTCTGAAGATGTCACAAGCACACACTGCGGACGTTTTTTGTTGCTTGCAAAACTTCTGCGCGGATCGCAACAGAAGATATTCGTCGCTAGTTTTCCAATTGGTCACTAATTGATTTCAACGCACGCACGCACAGACACACTCAGCGGACCCTGCGCTTCTTGGAAGCGGGTGGGGCGGCATCGGGCGCACGGCACAATTCGGCTATCTCGTGCTCTTGCAACGGGGCCTGCTGTTGAAAAGCCTGCAACTTCCCTGATGCCTTGGCCGCAATGGCCAGAGGCTCAAGCATGAGAGCCAAGGCCAACGTGTGGAAGGCGTTGCCGCACGCCTTCACACATCCTGCCTTGTGGCAGAACATTGAGGCGAGCTCGGGCTGGTGTCCTTGCAGCTGCAACCGCTCTTCTGGAACAATGAATCTATGGAACTCCATGTCCTTCCAGGACAGGCCGGCATCGGCCCGCGACAAAACGAAGAGCAAGGGGCCCTGCGTTCGCAAAGCTGGGCACATGTCACGGTGCAATCGTGCTTTGTACAATCTGTCGGGATCTCTGTCCAATTCGACCAGCACGAGGTCGCAGGGTTCTGTGTCCTTCTTCACCAACCCCAAGTACTTCTCAAGGTTGGCCTGCTGCTTCTTCGTGAGTGTCACGGGGTCTGTGTTCGGAAGCTGTGAAAACAAGAACGATCGCAGGGTGGGCTTCTGCACACGAGCTGGTAGCCATGGATCGGGGAATGTTTTGCGGATCTCGCCGCTGGGGCAACAGTCCCGACGAAGCCCCCTGATCCAGACTCTGGTCCGGGAATGGGGAAACATGCTCCTCAAGTCCTGCACAACGTAGTCCACGACGAACCATGGAATGGCGGCGCGAAAGTACTCCAGGGCTTCTCTCAAGAAAGCTGTCTTAGCTAACCTGCTAGAGTTTTCAATCAAGAAGAAAAGCAATGAACCTCGATGCGCATAATGGCAAATCATCGACTGCACTTGCAGAAAGACCACGCTTCGTTCGTCGTACTCCCCCAGCTGCTTCCCGCTGGGACTCCATGGTTGGCATGGGGGTCCCGACACAATGGCTTCAACATCTCCAGTGAGGCCTTCGATGCTCAGCACAGTGATGTCCCCCTTCTCATCCAGCTGGATCTGGCGCTGGTGGTCATTCTTGTTCTCCTGCAGCCTTCGCCTCCAAAAGCGACCAAGCGCAGGATCGATCTCGTAGACGTGCTTCCCGCACCACTCCATGCCGAGCTCGTCGCATATGCTTTTCCATGCGCTGATTCCGGCGCAAGGCTCGCACATGGTCAAGCACCTCTCCAGGTGCATCAGCGGCATCAGCAGCCAACGGATGACCTCCGCCAGCTGAGGCTGCATCATGCCTAGCTTGCCCAGGCTGCTACTTAGTCCTAGCCACTACTGGTTGCTGCTGGAACCCACAAAGCTTTTCGGGTGACTTGCATGCTGTCGTCGCTGTCGTTGCCCTGCTCTCATGAACAAACCCTCAGCAAGATTTGTTTCGCGACTTTTTCTTCTGTGCTTCTCCCTGCCTGGAACCTCAGCTTGAAGCAAGGCTCCAGCTGGAACTACAAACAAAAGCTCGCCGGGCCTGGTTCACAGGTCAACCATATGAAGCAGGCCTGCGCCCAAGTCCCACAGGACCCTGCTGACCGGCCTGGATTGCTCGGTGCGAGATTGACGCACCGAGCCATCCAGGCCGTCCAGCTGGAACCCGTGAGAACCGAGTGCGTGGCAACTGGCAACTCCGTGCTCGCCGGCCTGGATCGCCGGGTGCGACACTGTCGCGCCCGGCGATCCCGGCCGGTTCTGTGCGAATTCTGAAAGCACACGCTGACGTGCCTGCGGCGCCCGTTGCAGCACAACGGGCGCTGCAGGCACGCCAGCGTGGACTGCGGTTCTGTGCGAATTCTGAAAGCACACGCTGACGTGCCTGCGGCGCCCGTTGCAGCACAACGGGCGCTGCAGGCACGCCAGCGTGGACTGGGACTGGGCCTGTAATCTCTCAGCGATCAGCAACTCAGAATTATTTTTGCACTTGGTGAGCCGACAAACGGCCCGTGCACAGATCCAGGAGCCCACTCCGTCATAGGCTCAAGCTCCAGGTCCTGCAAGAAAACCAGTCTGAAACAGACTGACTCTGCAAAAGCAAGACCATAAGAATGGTGGCTGCAGCATGTGCGTCTCAAATCAATGACTGGACACCCACATGCTGCAGCCACCATTGTCATTGGCTCCCGTGCTCCAGCTCCATGACTGCCAACACCATAAGAATGGTGGCTGCAGCACGTGCGTCTCGAATCAATGACTCGACACCCACATGCTGCAGCCACCATTGTCATTGGCGCCCGTGCTCCAGCCCCAGATTGCTCCAGCCCATAAGTGCTCCAGACTCCAGCCCACGACTGCTCCAGGGTCCAGCCCCCGAAAAAATCCACACCAGTGAACAAGCAATGCTAAACAGACTGCTCATAAGTGCTCCAGACACGCCAGACCCAATGAAAAAGCCATTGCTCGCGCCACTGCTCCAGGGTCCAGCCCCCGAAAAAATCCACACCAGTCAACAAACAATGCCAAGCAGACTGCTCCAGCCCATACGTGCTCCAGACACGCCAGACCCAATCAGAAAGCCATTGCTCGTGGCGTACTTTCAGCGTTGCTGGGGTTTAGGGTTCCGGGTTTAGGGTTTAGGGTTCGGGGTTTAGGGTTTAGGGTGTGTGATTGGTGGTTGAAGGTAAAAAAAGAGGCGCGACATGGTCTGAGCCAGGTCAAACGCACATTTTCACTCGCAACACTACATTTTGCACCATGAATGGGGCAGCCTCCAGCAATAACATGCACCGCATGGTCTTTCCCTCTTTGCAAGCCACAAAACACACATGTTCACTCGAAACACCCTATTTTGCACCACACATGTCGCAAGAGAGCTGCGAAACCGAAACAGAGAGGGAAAAACACAGGAACGACAACAGAAACGAAGTGAGCGAGGAGAGCGACACCGGGAGCGACGGGAGCGACACGGGGAGCGACGTGAGCGACACAGGGAGCGACAACGGGAGCGACGGGAGCGACACGGGGAGCGACGGGAGCGACACGGGGAGCGACGGGAGCGACACAGGGAGCGACGGGAGCGACACAGGGAGCGACACAGGGAGCGACGGGAGCGACACGGGGAGCGACGGGAGCGACACGGGGAGCGACGGGAGCGACACGGGGAGCGACACGGGGAGCGACACGGGGAGCGACGGGAGCGACAAGGGGAGCGACGGGAGCGACACGGGGAGCGACACGGGGAACGACGGGAGCGACAAGGGGAGCGACGGGAGCGACAAGGGGAACGACGGGAGCGACAAGGGGAGCGACGGGAGCGACAAAGGGAACGACACAAGAAACAACAAAACACATGCACAACACAAGCCCCCACCCCCACTCGGGCATTTATGCCTTTTTTTCGGCCTGCGCTCGCCTGAAGGCTCCCAAACATGCTTCTGCGACCAATTTTCCGGCTTCAAGCCCGAATCGGCCGCCCATATGGTACAACGCAGTGCCTGGCAGTGCCTGGAAGGCCTGACTCAGCTGCCGCCCTGCTTCGCTTTGCAAAAACTGAACTCAGGTGGTGCTTGGAGGGCCTCTCTGTCCTGACTGAGCTGTTTCTCAGCGTCTTGGGCCCGTCACACTACCACCACCACTGCCGCCACTGCCATAGGACGACCGAACCAATCTACCGGCCGCATCAAGCAAGTCAGCGACCGCTTCAGCGTCTGGATGCCTGCCCCCTGCGCCTGCGGCGTGGCCTTGGGATGGATCTGGTCCCGGTGGTGGCATTGGGCCAGCCGGTCCCTCACCTCCGCCAGAGCCAACTACCGATACCGACGGGCCTGGGTCTGAGGCTGCGGCTCCGGCTGCGCGGCGTTGCTTCACGGGTTTCGACGGCCCGCCCTCCAAGGTCGCATGCTTGGACTGCCAGTGCTGCCAGTACGAATAGTCCGAGGCAAACGCCATCCTGCATGCTATGCAGATAATGGCTGCCTCGCCGCCGCTGCCGCCGCTGCCGCGAGCCACCTCGGACCTGCTTCGGAGCAAGAGAGCTTGGCCGCCGCGGACCTCGTCCGAATCTCTGCCCTCCCTGGGCTGGCGCTTCTTGGAACCGGCCTCTGTCTGGGGCTGGTGCTTCTTGGCACTGGCCTCGCTGGCCTCCGCGTGCTGCTTGCTGGTCTGGCGCTTCTTGGCACCGTGCTCCGCGTCCTGGGCCTCGTCCTCGTCCTCGGCCGCACGCAAGTTGATGTTGAGCTCCACCTGCTTCGCTTTGCAGTGGGCTGAACTCAGCTGGTGGTTGCGCAGGCCATGCTTCACCACCCACCTGCCGCACAGCGGGCACTGAATCTTCTGCCACCACTGCAGACCTCCCTCCGGCTGCTGCGGCTCCTCTGACTTCTGTGGCTCCTGTGACTTCTGCGGCTCCTGTGCCTTCTGGGCTGTCGGGCTTCGGGGCCGTGCTTTTTGGCGGTGTCATCGGGCTTGCGCTGCCGCGAGCCTGCTGCGGGACGGCGCCCTTTTTCGGCATTGCCTTGGTCTTCACGGGATTGGCTTTGCCGGGCGCGGGCGGCGCGGGCTGCACGGTGCCAGTGGCTATTGACCACGACCCCGGCGGCTTGTTTGGCCCGCTGGCATCACTCCCGACGATTGTCTGCGGCGCCAGACTCCCTGCCTTCGAAAGCAAGGTGCCCGTGCGTGTGGCCCGGGTTTCCTCCGTCTCCGACTCGGAGCTGCTGCGACGACCTGCACAGGGGGCAAAATACATAAGGAAACGCAAAAATTTACAGGCCAGACCCTTACAAGGGGCTTCTTAACT